TATTATTGCACGTGCATGGAGGGAATACAGTATATGGGGGGTGTCTTTTTAGTCTTCGTAATCCGTAGGCAGCCACCGCAAAAATCAACGTAAGCCACAAATCGTAAAATCGTAATCAGCTCTGAGAATTTAACGTAATTCGTAATCGGCAGCGAAAATACCCCCCCCCTCCCAACTCCCCCAAAAAAACACACACACAAGAAACCCAACTAACATGTATATTCAACATGTACTAAGCACTACTAGCATGGAGGTAGGAAAATCTTTCTACAGTGAACCAAGTAACAGTGCACTGTGAACCGGTCCCCAGCAGGTCGTTTCCCCCCCATGCCTTTTCCCCCCCATGTTAGTCTGGTCAGTGGTTATGACTCCTAAAGTTTTTTTTTTTAAATCTAAGATAAACGTAGGTTACAATAACTGTTAACATGTGATTAGTGCGATATCTGTACTTTTGTTGTAGTTTTCCCCCAGTTTCATAGAATTTTACAGACTAACAAGCCGACAGTTTCACTGCGGCGGGCGGGGATGCCAGGTTCCCCCACCGCTAACACAGCCCAGGTGCGATGTCAAGTTGGAGATTTCAGCGACTGCTTGCTTGTGTTTAAATGTTTAAGTCAGAGACGTTTATGTTTAAAATATTTTAAATCATAGATGTTTACGTTTCAATGTTTTCAATCTGTTTTCAATAGCACCTTTTGTGTACTATGCACCAAGTAACATCTAGCGTCAGTGAACAGTAAACCAGTCAGAATTGCCCTGATGACGGAAATGACGGAAGGTCATCGAAACGTCGGCTCGTATTAAGTAATAAATGGTTGTGATCAAAGAACTTTGCTATTCAAACAGTACTTTTGTTTTCAAACCGTTATACTTGAACGATTTTGAGTCATGTCTTTCATTTTTTTCCATCCAGAGATGGGCAGACCTGGTGAGACACCCTCGGAGAGTGAGGAGAGCAGTTTTAGGACAACTCCCAAGTCTTGCTTTAGTATGAACAGCCAAACAGGAGAAAATACTGGGGAAAATGCAACAGCCCAACAACTAGCAAAACACTCTGGAGACAAACCCTACATGTGTGGGGAGTGTGGGTACAGGACAGCTGACAGGTCTCACTTATCCCGACATATGAGAACCCATACAGCAGAAAAACCCTACAAATGTGACCAGTGTGACTATTCTACAGCAAAGAAATCAGATTTGGACAAACATCTAGCAACCCATACTGGTGAGAAACCCTACATGTGTGGGGAGTGTGGGTACAGGACCGCTAGGAAGGAGTGTCTAACCCTACATATGAGAACCCACACAGGCGAAAAACCCTACAATTGTGACCAGTGTGACTATTCTGCAGCATGGAAATACTGTTTGGATGTTCATCTGGCAAAACACACCGGTGAAAAACCCTACAAATGTGACCAGTGTGACTATTCTACAGCAAAGAAATCAGATTTGGACAAACATCTAGCAACCCACACCAGTGAGAAACCCTACATGTGTGACAAGTGTGGGTACAGGACAGCTACAAAGTTTAGCTTATTCAGACATATGAGAACCCATACAGGAGAAAAACCCTACAAATGTGACCAGTGTGACTATTCTGCAGTACAGAAATCTGATTTGAACAAACATCTAACAACTCACACTGGTGAAAAACCCTACATGTGTGACAAGTGTGGGTACAGGGCAACTCAGAAGTCTCACTTATCCCAACATATGAGAACCCACACAGGAGAAAAACCCTACAAGTGTGACCAGTGTGACTTTTCTGCAGCACAGAAGTCCAATATCGATGTTCATCTAACAACACACACTGGGGAAAAACCCTACATGTGTGACAAGTGTGGGTACAGAGCATCTTCAAATTCTAGCTTAACCAAACATATGCGAATCCACACAGGAGAAAAACCCTACAAGTGTGACCAGTGTGACTTTTCTACAGCACATAAATATAGTTTTAACAACCATCGAAGAAGCCACACTGGAGACAAACCATACATGTGTGTGGAATGTGGGTACAGGACAACCCAAAAGTCTACCTTATCCCAACATATGAGAACCCATACAGGAGAAAAACCCTACAAGTGTGACCAGTGTGACTTTTCTACAGCACGGAAGTCTTATTTGAACAAACATCTAAGAAAACACACTGGTGAGAAACCTGGTGGAATAGAGACATTAATTATTAGTAAAGAGACGCTGCCAAATAACAAATCCCAAAATATCGGATGAAGCTGACTACATAAACCTGTAACAGGTCTGGTGTTGAGAAAGTGTGTTAGAATGTGAGCATGTTTTCTACAAAGAAGGCATGGGAGTCAGAGAATTCTAAAAACCAGAGTTCAAATATCTTCATGGGAATTCAAGACGAGTCTGAAATGTGAATTTTAGTTGGTACATTCATTTAATCAGAGATTTTTTTTCTTTCTTTTGACAAAAGTTTTGTATTTTTTTATAATAACTGCAGAAGTAACAAAAGGAATCATGTAAACTGTGAAGATATGTATGCCAACTTGAAGGCATTTGTGTGCACATGTAACTACAGATACGGTATCTGTATCTGTACCAGACTTTGTCTGCTGGTAGTTACTGTTAAATATGTGTAGAAATTGCATCAAACTTTGCATAGGGAACATCGGAGATTTGAACGGCAGTGTATGTACATAAAGCTTTTTTTTTTAACCTGTGAACTTGGATAGAGCATTGCCTTCCTACTCAGATATTTTGAGAACTGAGTTAGTCAGGCTAGCTTTATCCTCAACTTCATTAGAGTCATGCCTGATATATAAGTGTTATACTAATATACAGACTAGTGTATAGCTCTATGCTAACATGTAAAATCCTACCTCAAACCTGATGTATTATTTAGTATAAGTCAAGTGTTCCACATAGGGAAATCTACATATATATGAAATATACTGTTCACCATAGAGTAGGCATAGACTAGCCTGTGCACTACATGTACTGTGTTTATTACACCACAGCATTTATTTCCCACACATACTACTGTTAGAGAATATATATATAGTTTTTCTGTTGTACACTGCCTGAAATGTGAGGGTAATTTTAGTTTTTTTTAACATTTACAAAAGAAGCTTCTAGATTAACTACTCTTTTATGCGTTAGGCTGGCAATTTTTGTGAATAGCTTCAGTAACTTTCAGTGATGGATTTCAAGAATTCTCTGGCCTTTGTAATTTTATTTTAATGTTAAACTTAGCCTAATACCAGTATATATATATGTGCAGTTAACATCATCGATATCTTCCAATATTCTCTCACTATTCCTGTACATGTACTAGTAGTTCAGTTTCATTGGTTTATGATGACAATATACAGAATTATTGTTGTTAGACTCACAAGTGTTGAATTATTGAACGTATATGTGTGTGTTTGTGTGAGAGTGTGTGTGTGTGAGTGTGCATATGTATGTGAGTGTGTATGTTTGCGTGTGACAATTAATGTATGGAGAGCACAAATTAAGAAAGTCACTCAGATATTTGACAATTATCTTGTGACAGAAGCTGGAAATGATTAGATATTGGGCCCATAAAACTTCAGTGAAGTTAAACATAACATAATTTGGGGTTAATAATTGGCCACTCTACGTTTATGCCAAATTTTAGGTCATCTTGCTGTAAAATAACAGTTGGATCCATTTGACCTAAAATTTGCCCCGTCACCGTAACATCTGCTTGGAGATTACTGTGGAGCCGAGAACTGCGGTGAGAGACTCAAAGGTCAGCGGGAGGTCATCCTTTTCAAGATGGCCGCCGGGACTGATCATAGAGGTTTGTTTTCGTTCGTTTTTAGAGTTTTAGAGCAAAATTAGCTACACGGTCTCTCTGTGGTTTGAGTTTAAAAGTCTAGGCTAGTCAGGGACTATTATGTTTTGGGCCTCACTCACTGTAACGTAGCAGTGGCGCCATTTTTGGGCCGTCTCCTCAGCTTTTAGTGAACGGTTTTTACCAGGGGTATGCTAGTATGCAAAACTACTAGTAAGATGGATACTAGCTGAAACGTCTGACGTTTTCAAAATCATATCCAGTTGCTTGAGTAACTGTTTTTTGGCATATCGTATTACCTGGATGTCTAACCTTCATCGACGTACTAGTAAGATGTTTTTGTTTTCATCTCCTACCCTGCAACGCAAGCCTGACCAAAGTGACATCTAGAGGGAGCGTAACTAATATGCAACAGATCTTTCACCATAGTTAACACTGTCAGTGTGTAACACAAACACACATTTTAGGTCACAAACAAGCATACAATTTGTGTGAAATTGTTTAGGTACAGTACGGGTGCTTAGGGATTAGGTATTGGACCTGTAGCTAATCAATTTCTTATAGGTACGAGTCACTCCTACTGGTACACACAGCTCTAGAGACACGTGTGCTGTTCCAGGTTGTTGCATCCCTCCCTGCATCTAGACAGAAGTTAGCCTCTGATTCGGCACTGTTGTCATTTCAAGTTCAATGAAATAACAATAATTATACTCAACAGTTAATCAATGAAAGTTACTATATTGATGGAGGTTAGACATCAAGGTACATGTAGTTTTACCTTTCAAACAGTACTTCAAACCATTATGCAAAAAAGGACTTCAATTTTTCTTTAGATTATGAAATATGTTCTTATTGTCTTTCATTTTTTCCATCCAGAGATAGACAGACCTTGTGAAACACCCTTGGAGAGTGAGGAGAGCAGTTTTAGGACAACTCCCGAGTCTTGCTTTACTGTGAACAGCCAAACAGGAGAAAAACTTGGGGAATATGCATTAGACCAACAACTAACAAAACACACCAGTGACAAACCCTACATGTGTGGGGAGTGTGGTTACAGGACAGCTAAAAAGTCCCACTTATCCGAACACACGAGAACCCATACAGGAGAAAAACCCTACAAGTGTGATCAGTGTGACTTTTCTACTGCATACAAAAAATACCTGGACATTCATCTATCAAAAGCACAGTGGGAACAAACCCTACAAGTGTGGGGAGTGTGGATACAGGACAGCTTACAAGTCTACTTTATCTTCACATATGAGAACCCACACAGGAGAAAAACCCTACAAGTGTGACCTCTGTGACTATTCTGCAGCAGAGAAAAAGTACCTGAAAAACCATATAAGAAACCACACTGGAGACAAACCCTACATGTGTGGGGAGTGTGGATACAGGACAGCTCAAAAGTCTGCCTTATCCCGACATATGAGCACCCATACAGGAGAAAAACCCTACAAGTGTGACCAGTGTGACTTTTCTACAGCATACAAAAAATCACTGGACATACATCTAACAAAGCACACAGGAGACAAACCCTACATGTGTGACAAGTGTGAGTACAGGACAGTTAACAAGTCATTCCTATCCCAACATATGAGAACCCATACAGGAGAAAAACCCTACAAGTGTGATCAGTGTGACTATTCTGCAGCACAGAAAGTCAATTTGGCAAGACATCGAACAACTCACACCGGAGAGAAACCCTACATGTGTGGGGAGTGTGGGTACAAGGCAGCTAACAAATGTAACTTATCCCTTCATGTGAAAACCCATGCTATAGAAAAACCCTACAAATGTGATCACTGTGACTATTCTACAGCAAATAAATCCAGTTTTGACGAACATCTCACAAAACACACTGGGGAAAAACCCTACATGTGTGACAAGTGTGGACACAGGACAGCTTACAGGTCTGCTCTAACCCAACATATGAGAACCCATACAGGAGAAAAACCCTACAAATGTGATCACTGTGACTATTCTACAGCAAAAAAATCCAGTTTTGACGAACATCTCACAAAACACACTGGTGAGAAACCCTACATGTGTGGGGAGTGTGGGTACAGGACTGGTTACAGAGCTAACTTATCCCAACATATGAGAACCCACACAGGAGAAAAACCCTACAAATGTGACCAGTGTGACTATTCTGCAGCAGAGAAATCTACCTTAACCCAACATATGAGAACCCATACAGGAGAAAAACCCTACAAGTGTGACCAGTGTGAATATTCTACAGCACGGAAATCTGATTTGGACAAACATCTAGCAACCCATACAGGTGAGAAACCCTACATGTGTGGGGAGTGTGGGTACAGGACAGCTTACAGGTCTGACTTATCCAAACATATGAAAACCCACACAGGAGAAAAGCATGGATGAAAAAGGATGATGCAAATTACTGGCGAAAGGTAGTGGATACTAGCTGAAACGTCTGACGTTTGCAAAATCACGTCCAGTTGCTGGAGTAACTGCTTTTTGGCATATCTTATTACCTTCACCGACGTATGTTCAGTGATGCTTCTTGATGAAAAGTAATGTCCCTTTGTGGCAAAATCACCAAAAACGGTTTATAACATATTTAAAGTTAAAACTTTTGGTCCAACACAAAAAATTCTCTCACCTAGAGCTTTCGACCAGTCACTCTGGTCTTCCTCAGTAGACTGCCGGGACTGATCATAGAGGTTTGTTTTGCTTTTTCGTTCGTTTGGTGAGTTTTAGAGCAGAACTACCTACACAGCTGCTCTGTGGTTTGAGTTTAAGAGTATAGGCTAGTCAGGGACTGGTCTGTTTTGGGCCTCATTCACTGTAACGTAGCGGTGATGGCATTTTTGGGCCGTCTCTTACTTGTACCGCCCCGGTAGCACCATACAAGCAGGCTTCTTTGAAGTGTGACATCAACACACTTTTGTATGAGAAATAAAGGAAGTGACGGCAAGTGACTGAGTGTGTTCGCATCATTTATTATAAAACATTCATCTTTTAAACCTTAATTACGATATAAAAAAAAGGCGCACATATTCTAAAGGCTACATTGTGAAAACTACAGCTGTGCATTAAGGTAAACATAACAAAATTTTGGGTTAATAATTGCCCACTCTACCTCGGTGCCAAATTTCAGGTCATCTTGCTGTAAAATAACATTTGGATCCATTTGACGTTAAAATTGCGCCGTCACCGTAACATCTGCTTGAAGACTACAGTGGAGCCGCGAACTGCGGTGTGAGACGCAAAGGTCAGCGGGAGGTCATCCTTTTCAAGATGGCTGCCGGGACTGATCATAGAGGTTTGTTTTCGTTCGTTATTAGAGTTTTAGAGCAAAACTGGAAACACGGCGGCTCTGTGGTTTTAGATAATCAGTCCGAGTTGTATTAGGGACTGTCTGTTTTTGCGCCTCGCTCACTGAAACGCATCATTGGTGACTATTGGGGGCCGTCTCTTACGTGCATAAGGGAA